CTAGTCATTATATCGACATGGAGATCTGGTTCTACGTTTCTTGGTGACATTTTGAATGCAATACCGAGCACTTTTTACCATTTTGAACCGTTAGCGTACCACTATACATATCAGATTCGTAGCCCACCAGAATCAACTGAAGTAATTAATACACTTAGTCAATTGTTGAAGTGTAATTATACCGGACTTCAAGAATATCTCGAACATTCAAAAGAATCAGATAATCAATTCCTCCGTGCTCACACGATACCGTTGTGGAAATATTGTGATTATAATATTGATAGTAATTTATGCTGGGATCCAAATTTTCTAAATTCATTCTGTCGCCTGTTTCCGATTCAAACAATGAAAATAGTACGATTACGTGCCGCATTTGCAGAGTCTCTTTTTAAAGATCCAGCATTAAATGTGAAGGTTGTGTTATTGATTCGTGATCCTAGAGGAACAATGGCATCACGTAAGCCTCATTCCTGGTGCGACAGGCCAGACTGTAATACTTCTGCAAAGTTATGTAAAGACCTGGTAGACGATTTTAAATCGGCGAAAATCTTAATAAATAAATATCCATCACGGTTTAAAGCAATACGATACGAAGATTTATCATTGAATCCATTCAATATGACAAAAGAAATTTTTAACTTTTACGGGATGCCATTCGATCAGAATATTGAAAATTATTTGGATTCACATACACGTTCAAGCGACAGTGAGGACTATTCAACCTTTCGGGACTCAAAAAAAACACCATTCTCGTGGATGCGTAATATGAGCTGGAATGAAACTGATGATATTCAGAAGCAGTGTGCCGAAGCTATCTCAGTATGGGGCTACAAGTTAGCCGACTACAAAGACGCGTTGAACTCTACGACCTTCAATCCCTTAAATCAATTTCCATTCGCCACACAAAATGTTGATTCGAATTAGATTACAATAAATAAAATGATAACATGCATACATTAAAAAAAACTTTTCAAAATTTGTTGACTTTAGAAATATGTATATGGAACAGAACACTTGAAACGATTATACTTATTCTCAAAATATTGGAATTAAAAATTATTTCTTGCGTTATAATCACATTTGTTAAGACACACGACTCGATTGCAAATATTTATCTTAAATTCATACAATGATTTTTAGATAGGATAGATGCGAAAGATCTCCGCAAGATCCAGATCCAAGCGTGCGTACGCTGCCGCATGATGCATACATATATAATACGCACGCAAATTCGTTATTCTTATTTCCCCTTCTTTGATTCGCATGCCATAGCATTACGGAGTAAGGAATGTATGTATCATGCGGCTACGTACGCTTGGATCCGGATCTTGCGGAGATCTTACGGATCTATTCTATCCAAAAATCATTGTATGCTTAAATTGTATGTATTGGTGACTAAATAAATAGTTTGAACATATTATTTCCCTTTCTATAATTCGATTTGTCCATCTTTTACAGAAAAGTGACGATATTTTAAATTTAATGATTTTTATTTGGAGCCACAAAATAGCGAATATATATTTCTTTGACCTGGTGAGAAAATGTCAAAATGACATGCTCTAGACGAAAGGCGGTGGTCACATTGAGCCATTACTTTCTAACGTAGATGGAATTGTTGTTGTTTATTAAAATTATTTTAATCTATCAATGTAAAGATCGAAATTTGGATTTTTTGCATTTTGTTAAAAGTTGTTGAGTCATAGAAAAAACAAATAAAATTAAAGTAATTATATATGTAGATTTATCTGAATTAATTGATCAACAGAAACCAGAAAGATAAATCGGTTAGTATATTCGTGATCTCAAAAAATTTCTTAAAATAAAAGAGCAACAGATGGGCATGGTGCAGTTTCATTTTGACAAAAATGTTAAGGTCTCGAATATTCTAACTAATGCATATATACAATAACATATGTCTAAAAAGTCTTTGTAAATTCGTTTTTATTGGTTTATACCTTTATTCATAGGTTATCGAATAGCACATTCACTTTACACTGAACGGACCATTGTCTTCGATTTTTCTCAGTATGCGTCAAACCTTCAAAGTCATGCTCTGGACAACCGATTTGTCGATTTCTTACAACTTTCTCTCCCAACATCTTCCTAGGGGACATTCATAGCAATTCTAGTAAGCTAGTTTTATTTACGTATTCGCTAATCGCTCACTAGTATTACTAGTGAGTACACTAGTGCTGCTAGTAGCTGCTAGTTTTTCTAGTGTTTTGAAATTACCTAGACGTATCGTATGATACATAAAAGAAACAACAGTAATGCTTAAGTCGCTTGTAAACGAACCAAGTGAATAGCGGAGACGCACGATAACGAAGTGAGTGTATTGCGGCAACGGATAACAACGTTCGTTGTTGCTATTCACTCACTTCGTTTTCGTGCGTCTCCGCTATTCACTTGGTTCGTTTGCAAGCGACTTACGCATGCTACAATATATTTTACATACCTCAATTCATTTGCTTTGGACTATAATACGCTAGTGCTTGCTAGTCGCTGCTAGTTGCTGCTAGTTTCACTAGTTTTTCTAGTATGAATGTCCCCTAGACATCTTCTAACAATATCAATGCAAAACAAACTAGTTGCACTTGATTCGTGGTTCGATTTTGCGATGAATATTTCCTAGGGGTTGGATACTCGGATTAGGAATTTGCTTCGGATTCGTTAATAACAGTCGGATTCGTCGGAATAGTGGAAATCGTCGAATTCGGGTTTTAGCATAAAACGGTTCGTGTTTTTTTACTAAAATTGGTTTAACAATTTAATGAAGCAATTTTAATTTATTGAAAACATTGAAAACTAATATTTTTTGTTATAATTGGTATCAATTTTATGAACTAAAATTATTTTAATTGTTGTACGGCTTATGAATATAAATAAGTTCATTTATAAAACTGTCAAAGTAGATATAAGTTCGTTGATCGTGCTTTGACAAGATCTCTAATACAGTAGCTTTTTTATATGAAATCTGTCACACTAACGCCCTCACTCTATCTTTTGGCGAACTAAACAGAATAAAGTTTAATATAAAAGTAAAGTCTCCATCAGGATATTTTATACAGCCGGTGTCAAGATCAATAAAACTGTTAATAGAATCTGCCATTTTTACGCAATTTTGCGATGTGATTGCGAGATTAAGAATATAAATAAAATAAATGAACGGAATAAACGAACTTAACAGAACAGAATAATTCGCACGAGTGTATGACAAGTATGTAAGAGAACAATAACATTACGTTTTGTATCTATCTGTCAAATGTCACACTCACACTTATGAGTTTACGTATGGAGATTTTAACAAAATCATTTCTACAAGATCTACACACTCTACACCCGAGGCTTTTTAAGTTAAATTAAAACGCATATAAATTTATGTTTTTTTAAATAGAAATTATCTAATGCTAATTGTGCTAACTTCACTTTCAAAACAAAAAAATGAAACAATTTATTAAATTATTTTTCAACAATTTTTGGAATAACATATGCGCTCATTCTCAAACTTGTGAAATAATATCCCATTCTATATATAGATGGCACTGTCTATACGAAGTTCGGCAAACAAAGCATTACGCTTATTGAGCGCATTACACCTCTTGCTTTGACAGTTTCGAACAACGAACTTATATACGTTTACGTATAGTCCAGTAATGTGCGAGCTACATTTTACAGGGGGGGGTGATTTTTCAAAAACTAAAAATTCTCTCATCTGAACAACAAATTTCGTTTTTTTTTTTTTTTTTGCTCTTCACTTTTTTGGCGAAAATCCCTAGCAAATCGAAAGAATTTTCTCCGCGCAAAACCTCAGGAAATTACAATAAAATCGTTTTTTTTTTTTTTTGGAAGTCACTTTTTGAGGCGAAAATCCCTAGCAAATCGGAAGAATTTTCTCACCCAAACAAAGTGAAGAGCTAAAAAAAAAAAAAAAAAAAGGTCTTCACTTTTTTCGTGAAAAACCCTAGCAAATTCGAATAATTTTCGCGAAAAAATTTTTCTCATCCAAATCACAGGGGGGGGTAAACCCCCCCCTTCGCACATTACTGGTATAGTCACTGGAAATTTAAGTGTTAAATTTGTGTTAATTTTTAATTCAAATTTCTCAAAATTAGAAAAAATATTAAATTTCAATGTTTTGTGTTTGACAGTAGATTAGGAATCCCCTATGTACTAAGTACATTGCTTCACATTTTTGATTTTGTTTATGTAGCGCAATAAACGCCTTAATTTATTCGAAAGACTTTTTACACATATTTTATGATCAAATCAGGTAGCTGATAAACTCTGATAAGCGTTTGTATTTGCAAAATGTCCATATTTGCAATAAATTAAACAAAAATAAAAACAAACAAACTGTGTATCCAATTTTATTTAGTCAAATGTAAAATTGTTTTGTGAGTACATTTTTTTCCATCTTACAGTTATTTTGATTTGCCAATTTTTCTTTAAAAAAATATGCAACGTCAAAGAAACAAATTGCAAGAAAATAATTGTGTCACTT